CCCTTCAGACCCTCTATATTAATTTATTTAATAGGCCACCATGATAATAACCTTTAGGCCAACTGGGTCAAAATCAAGTGGGCATGGAGTCTAGGCTTCTAGATTGAACTTACTGAGCTTCTGCTCCAGATTGGACCAAACCAAAGTAAAGCCCTCCATATCAAATCAATCTGTAACCTATGTCTCCAGTTTCATTTACTTAGCCAATCATCTATACTGACTCGCCCTTCAAGATCCCCAAACATAAAGCACCCAATCAAAGGAAAAAAAAAAAAAAAAAAGCGATGGTAGACTGCTCTAATATTGCCAGTGTACCGAACTTGAGGATGGGTAGCCCAATGTTCCTAAAGTTCTTGCACGGTAATCACAATTAACATGTCATTAGAGTGTTTTTGGCATAAATACGGACAGTGAACTATCCACGGAATTAGGGTTAGGGCTTCATAAAGATTAAGTACTAAGTACTAACACATATAAACACGCAGGCAGAGAGAGAGAGAGAACGAGAGAGTTTCTTACTGAAAAAGATGCATGAGTTCGAATCCTTCGTTTCTCTGTGAGCCTGATCGCCAGACGCTATTTCGAAGGGGTTTAGGATTTTTGGTTTCATACATCGTGTGGGGATATTCCTTTACACTGCGAGGTAGAGTGGTAGAGCATAGCATTCTACTCTATCACAAGCCGAAGCAGATACAACCCTGGGCCTGGCTCCTCTATGAAAAAAATTGAAGGGAAAATAAAATAAGAACAAAAAGAGGTTCCACCGAGATTTGAACTCGGGTTACTGGATTCAGAGTCCAATGTCCTAACCTCTAGACCATGGAACCTTATACCATTTGAGGATTCATATGTATATAAAAGAAAGTACCACTTTTTATCTCTCACTTTCACTTTTTTATTTCGACCATGGTTTTAAATAACGACCCATAAATAGAACCATCCTCCTCACCGGTTTCTGGATCAACAGTTGAATGGGTTGATTGGTCGACGATTTGATCACCCGGGTCATCAGGTCATTGACTTATTCAACGATTTTTGGCCGGACCAGGTTTTGGGTAAAACAGAACCGGTTGCCTCGATGGCTCCCATGCCGAATGGACCATCCAAGTCAACAACAGCTCAAAAACCATGGTTTCGACGTAGCTTCAATTTCACATCATCTACAAAATCAAACAACCAATATACAACAAAAACGTAAGTTAGAATTTGCACCCAAAACATTCACATTCCCATGTTTTTACACTAATGCAAATAAAATTGTATTGCAAGCAAACAAACCAAGCCTATCTTTTCACTTCCCAATTTCCTCAAATTTATTGTGGTTTTTAAATTTTTAGAAAAAAGATAAATCAATCCATATAATTCTACCCCACTACTCGTTTTTGAATCAAACCTACATGGACAATTCCCTCTTTTATTAGGAAATTTGATAATAAGGCCATTCGTTTTTCAAGAGGCCACCTTCTCAGTAGGTGCACTTAGGCCAAGCTTGGAAGTGCTTATTTTAAAAAATAAGTTCTTAAAAACAAGTGCTTATTTGAATAAGCATTTATTTGCATTTTGCACACACCATTTTCAAGTGCTTATTTAAAAAAATAAGCATCTATTTCATATTGGGTGTTTTGTGGTCTTTTTTCTCCAATAAACACATATTTATTTAAAAATAAGCACTTACTCTTTTGTCCTTCATTTTCTTTCAAGTTTTCAAAATATACCCTAATCTTTTCAAACTCATGTGAGTGGTGGGCATACTCTCTCTCTCTCTCTCTCTCTCTCGCTCATTGATATGGTGAAAAGACAATGGAGGAGATGTGTCATTGGTTGGATCGTTCAAGGATGAAAAAACAAAAGTTGTGCCACTAGTTAGAGAACAATGGAGAAGAAAACATGAAATGCCCAAAACCTACGTTTTTCGCACTTGAAGGGCATAACTGGCATTCTAAAAACTAAATGGGGACAATCCTGGGAGAAAAAATTCAAATAAGTGCTTATTGTATAAGCACTTAAAAAAAATCTAGAATTTTGGTCTTATCCAATAAAGCACTAATTTGGAGCTTATTTTCCAAATACCAATAAGTGTTTAATGGTGTGGTCCTGACCCAAAATACATACTTATTCGAATAAGCACTTATTTTTAAGCACACCCAAATTTGGCTTTACTCATGTTCTTTTTGTTAAAATTTACTGAGGTAAACAAGGCTCTCTAGCTTTCCAATGTTCTTTTGCCTCACCCACTTTCCCAAGTTTCTAATTTTTTAACCTTTTTCCATTATTACCTCTTGGGCCCAATGAGGTTGCAAGGAGAAGAGAAATTCTCAAGCCATAACCGTGGGTATTTTTAACCATTTGGATTTTGAGTATTTACTCTCCACTTGGGAAACTCAACTTTCCCAAGTTGAAGAATGGTACACTTACCTTTATCATGAGTTCCACATAAATCCAAAAAACAAACGTGAATATATTGATCAATGGGAACCAAAATCCCATTAACCAACTTTACCTACCTTCAAATTTTGAAAAAACAAATAAAACATAAGGGTTAAATTCCTATAATACCCCTAAGCCTTGTGAAATTGACTAACTATACACCTAACTTTTGCAAAATGACTTAAAGTACTAAGTTTTTTGACACTAGGAAAATAACCCCATTTGTTAGCACTATATTGCAATTCGTTCACATGTGATGTGATAGCACATGACTATTAAAATATTTCTAAAAGCCTAGTTTTGCCCTTTGTGGTTTAAAATGCCCTTCAACATTTTTGCCCCATTAAGTCTGGGCTATACTTAACAGGTTTGGACTAATTTGTAGACCAACAAAACCCATTTGTCTCCACATCTATCCACACAGCAATCAAAGTTCATATGCCAACTAAACTAACCAAGTAAATGTGATTGGGGTGCATTCAAGCCTAGGAGGAAAGTCAGGAAACCCACATTTGCTATGGGAGGTATTTACGTAATGCCTAACCAAGCCTCCATTGCACATGTAGTTTGATGGAAAATGCAATTTCCCAACATTTGTTCAATGAAATGCCTAGCATACCCCCCTACCAACCTATGCATGTGCCCTGTGATCGACCTCGCCCAACCTACTCACCCACCCAACATGCATGTGCCCTATCCCCACACCCAACCTTCCAACCTACCACCCACCACCCCCAACCCCGCCCAACTTGCCACAACACACCCCAACTACTATGCATGTACCTTACCCAACCCGTTTGATGAAATGCCTAAATAAGGTAGGGCATGTGCCCCTAATGTTCATTTGATTTTCTTAATAAAATCCTTAATATTTAATATTGGAAACTTAGTAGGGATTGCCTAACCCTATTTGACAATGACAAACACAACTAGTATGAAAATCTTATGACCATATGGACTTAGGTGAATGCATAATTGTTGAGTGTCACTATAGAAGTGGAAAACATTGAATGCAAGCTTCCTGCATGCTCATATAGGATAAGTGAAACTTCATCCATAATTTCATGCCAACATGAGCTAAAATTGATACTCTATTCGGTTTCTTATAGTATGATGAGTGATGTTCGGGTCATGATTGAGTTGGCCTTAGGCGATACGTGGCCGCTCTGTCATCGCCCGGTCACCCCGACCACGTTGGCACGGCCCAACCAACTCCGCGGAATATACCAACTTTGCGGCCCCAGCCGTGCTACGCTATTACTGTAGCCCCCAATCTTATCTACTCAGCCATGTCAGCTACACGTCATGCGAATAAGCACGACCAAGGATAGGAGGGATGAAGATAACTCTACTGGCGAATAGGACTTTATCCCAGAGACCTCAGCGGTTAACCTCATCCCGACAACTTCAGAAGCCCAATCCAACTAGGACACAGATCTCTGGCTATAAAAAGGCATCTCCCACTCAAGGTAAGGGATCTCAACTTCTATCATCTATTGTTACTCTACTTGGACTAGCACCCATATTGCTCAGCCCGACTGTCCATCACCTTCTATTGACTTGAGCGTCGGAGTATCTACCCAGGGATAACTCCTCGGGCCTCTGACATCTTTTCTTGATCACAGGTCTTGAAGCGTGGCTCCGTCCTACCACCTCGGCTCCGCCCTGTTGGCAAGGACTATCTGACTACCTTCCTTGGGTCATGCACCACCTCAGATCAAGCAACATCATATTGGCGCCGTCTGTGGGAAGTGCACAAAAAGCCTCCTGAAATCTTTTCTCTCTTATCGCGCAACCAAGAAAGCAATCAAGATTCCTAAGAATCAATCCAAACAATCAACATGTCGATCCCCATCTCAGAAATTTCATCGTCACAGCCCTCCACACCAAGAAATCCCACAGCCTCCATCCACGGTTGACTCTACGTAGTTCCGGGCAATGCAAGAGAAGGTTGATAAGATCTTCGAGATAATGTAGACGCTAGGATCCGTGGCACCGCCTAGTCAGGCCATCCCCTCTCATGCTCCAATGTGTACAAAGGACGATCCTCACCCCGAGGACCCCAAAGCGCATTGTCGGACAAAAGGGGAGCGTGGTCCGACCATGAGAAACAAGACACGACAAGGAAGTCTGCCCCTTAGCCCGCTCTCATGAACTCGACAATCGTAGTAGAACGCATCAAACTATGTGGATCCCCGCTAAAGAGAGGCTCGGCAAGCGAACGCCACCCCGTGTGGTCTCTATTGCTAAGTCTAGTTTGATAAAAGACTGCTCTACACGACCCAAGAAGGAGAGAGCCATGTGTACCGCGGTCCCGGACAATAGGGCGGCCGAGATTCGGGAGCTCCGACAACACTTAGAGGAGTTGGAGCGTAGCCAAATCCAGAGAAGCACAACACCGCCTGTAGATCAGCCCGTGCAGCCAACCACACAGACCGTTAAAGAGCCACCCTTCATCCAAGAGATCGTAGACGAGGTGCCTCCCGCAGGATGGCGGGCACCTCAGCTCAACAAATATGACGAGAATACTGACTCCGCCAACCACATCGAAGCATTAAAGGCTCAACTGATGTTGCATGGATCTTTCGAGGGCTTGATGTGCAAAGCTCTTGTGGCCACCCTCACGGGCCCGACCCTAACTTGGTATTCCTCCCTACCCCCGCTCTCCATAGCATCGTGGGAGCAACTGGAGACCCAGTTCCGAGCATAATTCACGACAAGTTAGAAGCACTGGAAGACTTCGGCCAGCCTCATGCAAGTGTGGCAAAGGAAGACAAAATCTCTCAGAGACTACTTGGTGAGATTCAACAAAGAAGCACTACAAGTCAGGAACTTGAACAAGTTCATGGCTGTCACTGCCAATCAGCATGGGCTCCACACCTCGCCTTTCAACTTCTCCATCTCCAAGAACCCTTCGCAGACACTAGCCGCTCTGATGAGCCATGCCTAGAAGTACATCAACACGGAAGAAGCCCAGGTGCAACTACGGGATGAAGAAGAAAGGTCCGACAAGAAGAGGAGGGACACAGAGGAGTGAAAGTCAAAGAGATCAGATCGGGACCATAAGAGGCAGGACCGCTGGCCTGACCGCAGACCATGAACACCTTTGCCGACTTATTGGAACTTCACACCGCCGAACACACTACGGTCTGAAGTTCTGATGCAAATCTACGACCGCAACTATGTTCGGTGGGGCGAAAAGATGAAGACACAGGGCAACAAGAGGAACCACGAAAAATATTACGAGGTCCACAGGGACCATGGCCATGACACGAACAATTGCTTTGACCTCCGCAACCACATCGAGGACTTGATCAGGCACAGGTACCTCGGTGTATTCGTCGACAAGAACGAGAAGCCAGCATAGGAGGAACCGC